AAATGAATTCGTTGCTAAGTGAGGAGCATACTATAATGGTAGTGGGTTTGTGTCAACCATCTTTGATACTGTTTTACTGTCACCTTTGCACCATTTATAACATTTTTGGTATATTTTTACGTGTTTATACAGTAGTTTACTGTATACTGAAATAAACAGAATAGAGGAAATCAGCTCAAATATACATTATTTAGGTATAAATACTGGTCAGAGATCCCATCATAAGTCCGAGGTGTCGGTAAGCAAGTATGTCGCTAAGTGAGGAGAGGCTGTATATAATACAGCCACTCCTCACTTAACGACCTACATATTTAATCCTTAAACTGTCCAAACGTAGCTCTACGTTTGCACTGCTAGCGCTCCGAACATAGATCTATTTTTTTTTTTTTTTACATTTGAAAGCATGTAAAATGAAACATAGATCTAAATTCAGAGCGCTAGCGGTGCAAACGTAGATCTACGTTTGGACAGTTGAAGGGTTAACGACCGCTCAGACTTACAACCAGCTCTCCAACAGTCGGTATTGTATGTTGTACAAGAACTTTGGTCGTTGAAACAGCAGCGCGACTTAAGAAATCGTAATGACACGATTGCAAATAAACCATACCCCCGGCCGGGATTGAACCCGCGGTCATAGAGTCTCAAAACTCCAGCCCGTCGCGTTAGCCACTAGACCAGCTAGCCACAATAAGATTCATCCAACTAGGTATATTTCTACACCATAGGAAAGTTAGCACAGGCACCTCTGTGACCACAAATGCAAGTTTTTACAGACGAATCTCCAGCTAGTTTTGAGACTCTATGACCGCGGGTTCAATCCCGGCCGGGGGTATGGTTTATTTGCAATCGTGTCATTACGATTTCTTAAGTCATGTTGACGGCAATGAAGGGACTTGAGCTAGAGTTCGTCACGGCCACGCTAGCTGGAGATTCGTCTGTAAAAACTTGCATTTGTGGTCACAGAGGTGCCTGTGCTAACTTTCCTATGGTGTAGAAATATACCTAGTTGGATGAATCTTATTGTGGCTAGCTGGTCTAGTGGCTAACGCGACGGGCTGGAGTTTTGAGACTCTATGACCGCGGGTTCAATCCCGGCCGGGGGTATTATCTGGAGTTTATCTGGAGAGAGTTCCGGGGGTCAACGCCCCCGCGGCCCGGTCTGTGACCAGGCCTCCTTAGGTCAGTGTCCCAGGATGCGACCCACACCAGTCGACTAACACCCAGGTACCCATTTTACTGATGGGGAACATAGACAACAGGTGGAAAGAAACACGTCCAATGTTTCTACTCTGGCTGGGAATCGAACCCAGGCCCTCACCGTGTGAAGCGAGAGCGTTAACCACCAGGCCACCAGCAGCGCGTTTCAGCATCGAGCATCTCATCTCACATCACCCTTTCTCATTCTCAGTCTCGTTCCCACAGTTGGTTGGTATTCACTATCTACAGTTAGTCAAGTCAGTAAGTCACTCAGTCCAGTTAGCAAGTCAAAAGAGTATAGTCAGTAAGCAAAGTCAGTACAGTCAGTCTGTCAAGTCAGTAGATCAGTCAGTCCAATCAGTAAGTCATTCAGTCAAGTCAGTCAGTTTATTCAGGTATGCATAGACATAAATAGTTAAATTATTATACATAGCAGCATAAGTAAAAACTGCATGTATTGACTAGTATTCAGGAATCAACTAGGCTAATTAAAAACATATCTGAGAATCATATGAGACATGTACATACGGACCAATGATCTTAACCCGTAAACAGTCCAAGCAGATTACGTTCACATGTGTAGTGCTACAAAAGTAGATCTACGTTTTTTTTTTTACATATTTTCAAATATAACAAAAAAAAGTAGACCAAAGTTTGTTTACACATTTTCAAATGTAAAAAAACAAAAAGAAGATCTACTTTTTTACATACTTTCAAATGTTGAAAAAACGTATATATACGTTTGGACCGTTTACGGGTTAAACTAGCCGAACAGGTATTATACATGATGCAGAATCATCATGTCTGAGAAAGTGGAAAGATATAACTGTGGCCAAAATGTGTATTACTTGCCACAATAATGCTCATGCCTTGTATCTACAAGCACAATATAACACTGGCTCTTTCGTGTTAATTTACACTATGTATGCTAACTGTACGTACTTACGTGTACCTGTGCCTAAAAAACTTAGTTCTTGATTCTGTTCTGTCATTCAAGCAATTACCTGAAGGACAGGTGTCCCTTGAACAGAATCAAGGACTAAGTAAGTTTGTTGAAGCACAGGTACACGTAAGTACAATTGTCATACATAGTGTAAATTACCTAGGATAATCCAAAAAATGTCAAAGTGCTATACTGTGCTTGTAGATACAAGCATTACTGTGGCAAGTAATACACATTTTGGCCACAGTTATATCTTTTCACTTGAGAAGACGTGATGATTCTGCAATGTGTAATACCTGTTCGAAAGTCTAGTTGACTATCAGGTCTATGAGCGGTTCTCTCTACGAGACAGACAGGCCAGCTAGCCAGCCGATACCTGGAGTTTACCTGGAGAGAGTTCCGGGGGTCAACGCCCCCGCGGCCCGATTCTTCTGGAAAGCTACACCCTAGACCCTTACAAGTCCTTCCATTGCCTCATGATCATCTCCTTTACCCGGGCCCTCTACAGCTCCTGATAACTCTGATGACGACTCTGATGATCTTTTCTTTATTCAGAATAAAGAAAAATGATCACCTGTATTTACAGTATGCAAGCCTAAGTAATGTATATTAGAGCTGATTTCCTCTATTCTGCTTACTGCACTATACAGTATAAACATTTAAATACTAAAAATGTTATAAATGGTGCAAAGGTGACATTAAAACAATATCTAAAGATAGCTGACACAAACCCAATTCACTTAACAACCTACTTGTAGGAACAGAACTCGGTTGTTAAGTAAGGAGTGCCTGTATACTGGTATTGTTCAGTATTTTCCTATTACTATATTACATTCATAGTGAAGCACTAAACTTGTATGGATTGATGAGAACCTGAGGAATGGAAGGTAATCAAATCTGATCCAAAAAAGTGGAGGGTGGTTTTTATTCCTTGAGTCAAGATCTCTTCTCTAGTATCAAGGCACTGAAGGGTGTATTTTCTTATGTATAATACCTTGAGTCAAATATGGAGAACAGTAATAGCACTTGAAGATCTATGTCAAAGGCTAAAACGTTTGTTTACTATAAAGTTTCTCTCTCAAAAAAAAAAAAAATGTGATTGGATACTGTAACTCACAGTTCGTGCATTGGGTGCACCAGCATGTCCATAATGCAGCACAGAAGCATTACAACCAGAGCCACAAATGTTAGTATAAGCCTGGTGTCGGCATCCTCCATGGTAATAAGAATGGTGTTGGAATATAGATTCTAATTGATATTCCTTCATGCCAGGTCGAATCTTGCGCATCACAACTCGATGGGCAGCAGCAGACACAGTGGCTGCAAATCTAAGAACTTCAAGTTCTGCCTTGGTCTTTGTTACACGGCTGAGGAAATGAGAGGATACCTACATTAGGCCTTTCCTGTTTGAGAATAAGATATAATTAAAGAAAATACTGTGTGTATAAGAGAACACAGGGTAATCCCATTTGCGATCACAAAAGATACAAGAAAATAAAATATACAGTACTGTAAAAAAGAAGAGGTCTTTATACTATCAACTGATAGAACAGTCTGCCATTGTAAACTCAGAAAAACAAAAGTTCCAACACAAGATTACAAAACCCTCACAAATAAAGAGGTAGACTGCTGGAATAAAATTCAAGAGGAGGTATAGTAGTATGAGTAATAACTTCTGGAAAAAAATAAAAGTTGTATGGCAAACTAACGATGGGGCACCAAGGAGCTCTACTTGAAAATAAGTGTGTATACGTACACCAATACACACAACCATGCACTTGCATGCCTTATGCACACACTACCATACACACACACATACTCGTATATATGCATGCATGCACGTGCTATGACTCTACCCCTGCAACCACAATTAGGCGAGTACAGGAAGGAAACAAGTCATGGTATGTGATGAAGTGTCATAGAGGGCACCTGTGATGAGCGGGGTTCCACAAGGGTCAGTCCTAGGGTTGGTGCTATTTCTGGTATATGTGAATGACATGACAGAAGGGACAGATTTAGAGGTGTCCCTGTTTGCAGATGATGTGAAGCTAATGCAAAGAATTCAATTAGTGAGGATCAGGTAGGACTACAAGGGAATCTGGACAGGCTGCAAGCCTGATCCAGCAACTGACTCCTGGAGTTTAACCCCACCAAGTACAAAGTCATGAAGATTGGAGAAGGTCAAAGAAGACAGAGTACAGGCTAGAGGACCAAAGACTGCAAACTTCACTCAAGGAAAAGGATCTTGGGGTGAGTATAATACTTAGCATATCTTCTGAAATGAACATCAACCAAATAAGTGCTGCAGCATATGGCGCCTGACAAACCTGAGAATACCATTTCGACACCTTGGTAAGGAATTGTTCAAGACTTTGTACCCCAAGTACATCAGCAACATATCGGAGTACGCAGAACCAGTACGGAACCCACTCTTGGTCAAGAACACCAAAAAATTAAAGAAAGTGCTAAGGTTTGCAACAAGACTAATCCCGGAGCTAAGGGGTAGTCCCACGAGGAGAGGTTAAGGGAAATCAACTCAATAACACTGGAGGACAAGAGAAGGTCATGATAATGACATATAAAATACTGAGAGGAATTGACAAGGTGGATAGGGACAGGATGTTTCAGAGATGGGACACAGCAACAAGGGGTCATAACTGGAAATTGACACTCAGATGAGTCACAAGGATGTTAGGAAGTATTTCTTCAGACATAGAGTTGTCAGGAAGTGAAACAATCAGGAGTGATGTAACATACCATAAATCTTGAGATTTAATGCAGCCGTCTGGGTTACTTCTTGACTTGTGATGAATTCTCTGGGTTACTGATGCTTGTTTACATATAGTATAAGTATCAGAGATAAAATAAATCTCAACTGATTTATGAATGTGGACAGTATTATATAATTATATTTAGGTGGAAGCACTAAACCCATAGGAGTTGTACAGCTCCTGGGAAAATAGGAAGTAATCAGGCTCAATCCAAGGAAGAGGAGGACAGGTCCAATTCCTTGCATCAAGAGCCCCTCATCAGCATCAAGGAACCTCCCTTGACAAGAAGTAAATGAGTAAGAGTAGCATTAAACTGGACTCATTAAAGAATTTAACATTTTTAGAGCTTATTGTAAATAAAAAGATTTTTTTGTTAATACTGTACAATGTAATGTTCTAGCCTGTACACTTTTCTGTAATAGGTTACCTATAATGTAGCCTCTTTCATTGTTGCTTCAATGTAATCTTTCAGCAATTCTGGATACATGCAAAGTTTAATAATTTTTTGGTAGCTAAGGCTTACAACCTTAAAGCCGCACAAGGCTAGATGCCGTCTGCGCATAGCCTGTGGCCCAACCAATATTTCTTCATTTAAAATATAGTGTTCAGGAGGATGAATCAAAAGGGCATATTTATTATTACTCCATTTGAAAGACCGGAGAGAGAGTTTTCCTGACATGTCAATAATACAATCTATAATGTACAACTTTGTACCAGGGAAATTTGGCAGTACAGCATATGGTGTTATGCGTTCTTCTGTTCCAACTATTTCAACCAAGGGAACATGAATCATATTTACACACCTCTTTATCCTTGCATCATGCCAAAAGCTTTTAGCTGAATGATCCCTTGGAAGCATTGGTCCATTATAATTTGGAGCTTCTAGACAGAGAGCTTTATCAAGCACTTTCAACTTCGTGCGAGCGAGCCTCATGTCAGATGAATCTAATGAGTGTATTTTGTCAAAAAAATATGGGTTGAAAATTTTTTTCACAAAATTAAGAGGGTATCTTTTTAAGTATACACATGAAAGAAGTAAATCAATCATTATATCTGGTGGAAACTGCACAAATTTTTCATATAGCTGCATTTCAAGGGCAAGGAAAAATGCTGAAGCATTTGGAGGCTCGTAGTTTAGCAATCCATATGACCGGCCAAGGCTATTAATCTGTTGCACAGTCAGCTTTTGCGAGTTCTTTATAAAGTATTCCCCAGCATTATTCATTATATCAGGGGATCTTATGCGCATCTTGACACAATAATCCATGATGACACCCAGTAAACTTTGATCACTGATATTAACTTTTTTAGCCTTCATAAATCGCGAGAGTGCTTTTATAATATCTGGATTTGTGTAATTTAAGCTCGTGAAAGAGTAAACAATCCAGCGAAGGTTACCTTCTGTGAGAGTATGGATATTTAAATTAGTCCATCTTGAAAGCATAGGTAGCATTCGACTATTTGTCACCTTAAGCTGTACAAGGATGTGCAATATTCTTATGACATCTTCTGGTTTAAGTTTATACCATAGACTGCCCATTCTTCGCTCAGCAACATTATAGAGGTGTTTACGGCTCTTTGTAACTAGTGGAAGAACACTCATGATGTTACTAATTTCCTTTTCCTGAATTTCCTCTGTTTTTTCCGTTATTCCAACCCAAATTTGCTCCACGTATCTAAAACCAATATTGCCCAAGTTGTAAAATGCCTTTGTAGCCTCACATACCTGGTTAATTTTCATTTTACCTTCTGTTATCAAGACAATGCATTCTGTACAGAGAGCTTCCAGGTACTTGAGTTTGTCACCTTGATAGGTATCCCGGCCCATGACTCTCAAAGTGTCAATTAAAATTTGAGGATCTGAGCTGCCACACACAATTTCAACAAGTCGTTTCATCACCGCTCCTCGGGTGAAAGTAAACGGGGACTCTTCGGGAAACAAGTTCATTCCATGATTCCGATACTCTATATTATTTTCTAATTCAAATATTCTCTTAATTACAGCCAAAGCAACTAGTGGTGTTACCTCAGTTTCAGGACAGATTTCAAGTAATTTAAATATATCTCCTAGCTTCGAGCATCTCATAAAACCAAGGATCATTTCTTCTTGTTCTTCAAAATTGATATTTTTGAACAAATTCCTGGAAACCTGTGGTATTTCCAGGCTGGGTCCCTCCAACCTCTTGCCAACCTGAGTTTTTCCATTGGTAAAGAGTGTAAATTCTCCATTGATAATCTGAACAACGGCTGGCAACTCTTCAATGTTTGTACCATCCTGGACAAAAACTGTTGTGCTGGTTATTGTTTTCTCATCATCCTTTTGACAATGAGACGACCAATGTAATTTTCTTGACAAGATTGGTGCATTGCAGTACCTTAAAAGGCGCCTCAAAACAAATGGAACATGTCCATTGATAATGGCCATAATTTGATTTTTATGTGGTAAATATTACCGGAGATGTGGCTTGTTTTATGTACTGTATCATTAGTCAATCCTGAGCGCTAAACCCCACAGGGGTCATACAGCTTCATGCCCTGCAAAACAATTAACTATAAATCCAGTACGTCATTACTGCCTGTAAATGTCTTACGAACATTAATCAAATGATTCGTCATCAGAGTCTTTTCGCCAACTGTACATTTCCATCTCCTCATGGACACCTCGGCATGACACTCTTAACGATACGTGTAGTTTACTCTCCTTGATATGTATGTATGCTCAAATTGTAAATAAATAAATAAATAAATGAGATGAGAAGCAAGAGTTTCCTTGTTTACAACTTGTGACTCACTGGCAGCCTGAGTGACGCTGCTTCCTCGTGCCGCTAATCTCATCATCTTTATATATTATTATGACGTCTTGTTATACGTCATAAACATTATGATTTATATAATACAAATTATTTTTGCTAATTTAAGGTGAATACAGTGGAGTTCTGAGTATTTAAAAGAGTATATGAGAGTGTTGAACGGTGTACTTAGCCTCGGATGGAAGCAACGTTAACAAGATATTTTAACTCCGGGTTATGTATTGAATAATTTATAATTATTATACAAGATAATATAGAAATACATAATAATTAATAATAATAATAATAATAATTTTATTTACTAATAAACTCACCATTCTGCAATTTCATCATGAACAATGCCGCTGTCAACTCGAAATCTGGAAAAAACATAATTTCAAAAGATAGATTCTATTCATGCCAAGGAATGCATCCGCCATATATAACACATCTAAATTAATCTAACTCGAAACTAAATATACCTATTGGTAAAAAAAATGAAAAGATGGGGTGGTAGGGGAATATTCAAATGGCTTCAGGAAGAAATCCAAATATTCTTCCTTGAAGCCTTTTTATCCACTTTTCCGAGGCTGTGGCTCCCACCAGAGGTGGACCCCATTCTATAATCAATTATTAATATATCATTATTATTATTATTATTATTATTATTATTATTATTATTATTATTATTATTAAGAATATAGTTCTTCGTAAAATGCTACGTAAAATGCTTCGTAAAATGTTACACACACTGTTGTGTAACTATCTAATTTCACTAATAAACCAAAAAATAAGTGAATGGAGATTGCTGAGAATAATTACCAAAATTTACTAATACGTGGATGAAAGAACCAAAGCTTATCTTATCTCAGCACTTACTGACTGATGCCATCAAAAGCAGCTTCCAGAGTGGTCTTGCCGCTGTCAGTGTTCACGCCACGCTGTTAACATAAACCACCACAATTATTAGCTAACTTATCAGTTATATTAAGTTGAATTTACATAATTATAAACAGAAGAATGGCCGGGGACTCGAACAGTGGTCCATGTATATAGCAGGCCCAACGCTGTAACTTATAAGTCACAGAGCTTACAATAGGACGATTTTATAACCAGCACTTCAGTGACATGGTTGTATCAGCAGCACCAACTCTAACTTAAATAAAAACTAATTTACAGTACTTAGTGTGGACCTCCCTTTTTACATTAGTTTACCCAATAGCTCGGAGTTTTCTCTAATATTGGACTCCAGACAGAAAACGTGAGTTATGGTATGGGTAACTATAAAAATATCAATTATTATTACTACTGGAATAGCACTAAATCCATAAAGGTCATAGAGCACCTGATTAATGAGTACAATCAGGTTTGACTGGAAATAAGCTACTGACTTTTTGGGGGCTATCCTAAGTAATTTACACATTTGCTAATAAGTATGATAATTGCACTTTTGTGTACCTGTACCTTAAACTTACTTAAGGGGAGGGTAGCTTTAATTCCTTGCACAAAGAGATCTGCAATATCACGAAGGTAAGCCCCCATAGAAATGGCTCAAGTAGTGGTAGCGCCTTCGGTTCACAACTGAAAGACTCGGGTGCAAATCCACAACAGCTAAAAACGTTGGACAAATTTCTATATATGTGTTCTTGATTCGCCGGTACTTTTCCGGTCCGGGTCTTTTCCAGATGGTGACCCGGCCTTGTCTTCCTGTCTTGGGAGTGTCTGAGACCTATGTCTGCCATGAGAGGAGGTACAAGTACCTCCTCATCTTCTGGGATCAACTGTCCCCAGGCCTAGCCCCATTCCCTGCCCTCACGGGGCTCATAGTGAGAAACTAGGCCTCGTCTGCCATCTTCCCCGCCCCATGGAGATGGGGATCGTGGGAAGTGCAGTCTGGTGAGCTGCAGGTGGTAGCAAGCTCTAGCTCTGGCACCTTCCCCGCCCTAAGAGGGCTCGTGGGAATGGTGTATCCGATGTTATATATGTGTTGTCCTCTGCTGAATGTTGTGGATCGCATCTTGGGAAAAATAGGAGCGGGGGACCCGAAATGGAAATAACAAACACTGGTTAGCTTTCCTGGACATCATGAGTTACTAATCCTCCGCGTTAATAATCCGAATAAAATCTTCAGAGAAAAAAAAAAGGGGGGGGGGGAGAAGGACACTACAGTATTTCAGTCTCACACACACATCACTCGTTTATTTTTCTAATCTTTTTTAAAGCTACCCATCAAATTATTCGCTTCACTGACACCACTTGGAGGCTTACTCCACTAATCTATAATTCTACTGCCAATTTTTCTGCTGGAACGTTATTGTAAAAACATGAAAATTAGGTAAAGTAGATCAATGGAAATAAATCACTTCGACTTTTTGGGTTATCATGTATGATAACTGTGCTTACGTGTACCTGCGCGTAAATAAACTTACTAACACAAGGACCCCAATGGAAATAAGTCACCTTGTCTGACTCTAGGGGGAGGGGTAATCCTAAGTAATTTACACCTGTTACTCTGTATGATAATTGTACCTATGTGTACCTGTACCTAAATAAACATTATTTAACAAGGCAAGAGAGAATCTGAAGTAGGTAAGTGAGCTTCACAACTATAATAAATAACGAAAATAAGAAGCAAGATGATAGAGGAAGACAGGGTGTGATGCAATTGGTAAGACGTAAACAGACCTTGACCATAAAAGCTGCTATGAGAGTCACAACGCAATATCAACCTACATACATACCATGATTCACAACGCAATACTCAACCTACACACATTCAAAGTGAAAGCCACAAGACATTCAACCTACACACATCCTTAATACCCACATCTAGTCTCCTATCTCTCCCTTCTCACCAAGATGCCGCTACACTGCACATGTACACAAATAGTTACACAATATATTGTGATATATGTGGAAATTACCTATAATAACCCAAAAAGTGTAAATTACCCATGGTAAACGAAAAATGTCAAAGTGACTGATTTCCACAACCATCTTTCGTTTACTGAATAATGAGAAGCTCTTACTAAACACCCTGCGAAATGTTATAAAGAAAAACACTAATCTTAAAGCTGTGTATATTATATTTTTGGGAGAAGCACAAATATGAGAAAACTTACCATAAAACAACCAGGTTGGTTAAGAGCGACAGACCAGGATCATGCATGCGATTCTATTGCTATTTATAAATCTCGCGGCTCCTGGACCGGTCCGGCCTCACACCAAATTAGCCTCACACCACGAGACATACGTGCAGATTTGAACGTTACTTAGAATTATCCCCTCAAGAGAGGTTCCTTGACGTTGGTGAGGGGCTCTTGATCTAGGGAATTAGATCTGTGTTCCAGTTCCCTGAATTGAGCCTGAATGCCATACACCCCCCCCCCCGACAGGCGATGTATAATCCTACGGGTTTAGTGCTCCAATTTGATTATAATAATAATATACTTAGAATTACCCAGTTACCGCGTTGCCAGACGTGTCTTAGTCGTTTTCAGATAACTTTTTTTTTGGTGATTAAACATGTAATTTACCACAGCGCAATCTAAAAAAAAAAGTAGATTCTGCATGCAGAGAGCGTCCAACATATAAACAGAATGACATATGAGGATGAATTGCAATGATTTACTCGCTCCACTGGTTTTTGCTCCTGTGTTGATCCTCTAGAATTATATAATATATATATATATATATATATATATATATATATATATATATATATATATATATATTACAACCTAGGAGCAAAAAGGTTTATTATCCTGGGTGTAAAGGGGAGCAAGGAGCAGAACAAACAAGTGCGATTATAAGTACAAGTATGTACACTATATACAGTTGGAAATATATGTGTACAACACGGTAAATCAAGAGGCAAAGACACAGCCTGGAGACAGAATAGACAACCGTGTTCAACCAGCTCTAGAATGGAAATGACAAGGGTGGAAACGTGAGTGGTGACCAAGCCACCTCCACAATTGCCAGATCCACCTTCTCATTGGATGAACCTAGGTACTGATCTGACGATGGGACCCCATCGTCCGACCCTTAGCAACCGGTTCGCTGGTTGGGGAGATAGCCTTTTAATGAGGGTGTGTACATGTGCCGAATAAAGGTTACACACTCTTTGCATTCTACATTCATGTATATATATATATATATATATATATATATATTACTGCAGATTTGAAAGTTACTTAGAATTATCCTTTCAAGGGAGGGTCCTTGACGAGGGTTTGAGGGGCTCTTGATCTAGGGAATTGGATCGTGTTCCAGTTCCCTGAATTGAGCCTGAATGCGTTCCATTCCCCCACAGGAGATGTATAATCCTACGGGTTTAGAGTTTCATATGTATGTGTGTATATATATATATATATAAAATATATATATATATATATATATATATATATATGTATGTATGTATTATATATATACATACAAAACATTATTACATGTATGTTTGTATATTATATTTATATTATATATATTAATATATATTATATATTTTATATATATATATATATATATATATATATTATATGTATATATATATATATTAAATATATATATATATATATATATAATATATATATATATATATATATATATATTTATATATATATATATTATATATATATGAAAACACAATCATGAACAGGTATACAGTACCTATTTGTTAATTAACTGTATAAAATACTGAAGAAAAAATATGCACAGTGCCGTGACTGGAACTTACTACCACCACCACTACTACTACTCCCACTACCAGCATTACATCTACCACCACTACTACTACTACCACTACCGTTACATCTCCCAACCAGTACTATTTCACTCCGCATTACATCTACCCAGTCTACTACACTACCAAAATTTACATCTACCACCAGTACTACTACCACTACCAGCATTACATCTACCACCGTACTACTCCCAAACTACCAGATTACATCTCCACCAGTATACTACCATTTACCAGCATTACATCTACCCCCGTA